CATGCTCACACAGAGATTCATCTGTATTAAGGTCTACATGCTCACACAGAGATTCATCTGTATTAAGGTCTACATGCTCACACAGAGATTCATCTGTATTAGGGTCTACATGCTCACGCAAAGTCTCCCCTGTATTATGGAGTAAACTCTATGGAGTGCATGAAAGGCTTTTGGCTCCTACAGAGGACCCATAATGGGATGATATGCTGCAGGGGTGAACAGCAAGTGAGAGGAGGCCTCACCTCCTTAAATCACACAGTTGTGCAGCAGCCATGAAGGCACTGCCTAACCAGCTTTTGTGGCCTGTGGTGTGTCGATCTGTGGCTCTCTCTCCACGCTCCTTCTCAGTGTACACTGTATTCTCCTCATCCAGCAGGAAGGGACTCGTTCACTCGGTGAGCAGTCCAGGGGCCACCGTTCCACTCCACTGTGAAAACAAACTTCTTCAGCTGCTCTGCCTGTCTCAGTGTGTCCCCATTTCTCTCTCACCCCTCCCCTTTGTGCTTCTCTTCTATGCCAAATCAGATGCTAAAACGTTTCCTCCTACTGATGATTCCTGGTCCTCAGAACTGGGAATAAGGCTTGGGCGGTCAAAGGTCCCAATGTGGAAGGTTGAAGCTATCAAGGGGCCATTTATCCTTTCACAAATGATCTTTACTTTTGGGGGAAATCCCCCCCACACAGACAGTGTGAAAAGATCGAAAGATCCCAGGCACACATAGGGAAATGATATGCGTCAGGTGACCGCGTGAACAGAGGGGGTCACGTGACTGCATGAAAGGATCATGTCACTGGATGAGTGAATGATGTGGAAAATAAGGAACAGACACAGCCATGTGCTTGGGATACTCTGGCTGTGTTGAGCTGAGAGGGTGGGGGGAGTTGCAGTGGGGGTGGGGATACCAGGTATAGACAAACCCGCTTTCTAGAGGGATACAAAGGGTTCCCATGGTAACGGCTGATGAAATAGTTCAGCCAGTCCCTGGGGGTTATGTCCATATTAACTGAGACATCTAGTCAGCAACAGAGTCCTGTTTTGTTGCCTAAAAGGACTCATTGTGTGTTTGTGTGGGTTCTGTTTTTTTGTGGTTGCTATGTTTCTGAGGGGTTTATTAATATGTTTTGTTTTTATTTTTAATGGCTTCAAAAATTATGGGCACAGTATTAATGATATATTTTATAGCTGTCCTTTGGCCTAGTTGAGAGGGGTATACTGTATATGTTACTCAGGCTCAGCTATGTGAGGTACATGTATTACTGATGCTCAGGCATGTGATGTACGAGTACTATTAAGGTTCAGCTGTGTTATTTATAGGTATTACTGAGTCTGAAGTGTGTGATGTGCAGGTATTATTGAGTCACAGGTACATGT